CCCCAGCCTGTATCACCATCTGATAAAAGCCCCGAGTCTTATTTGCTTATCTTATTTAAGGAGCTCCCCAGCCCCCCAGCATGTAAATTCCATGACAAGGGATTTTTATCTGTTGTGTTCATTGCTGTATCCCCACTGTCTGACACACAATAGGTACTCAGTACATGTTTATTGAGTGACAGGAAGACAGGCATTCAGCTGGATGCCTGGTGCAGATGAGGTGCTCAATAAACTGGACTGCTGATGGGCAGTGGGGGTTTACTGGGGGGCCTGCCTCCAGCTGGAAGCTCTGTGCTGTCCCCAGGGAGTGGGAAAGTGGCCCTGGGGAAATGGGAGAAAGTTTGGCTCCCTGCAGAGAGCACTCAGCACCTGTTTCCTCACCGTGGGCGGGGAGGCCAGTGCTCAGAGCAGGTTCAAAGAGGGAGGAAAGGGCGGGCTGTATTTTTCCTTCCTTTTGCATTCTCTGCCTGCCCTTCAGCCTCTGCAGGGCTGGACTTAGCCTCCCTGCCCCTCCCTCTTGCCTCACACTGTGTGTCTGTGTGTCTGTCATGTTTTCTCTATGTTCCCAGCTCAACCATCTTACTTAAATCCTACCCTCCTGGGACCAGGACCATCTTGGGCACAGGATTTTAGCCCAGCTTTGGGGCCCTGCCAGCCAAACACATTTTCTGGCCTGTGCCAGGCCAGCCAGGGCAAAATGGCTTAATCTTCAACCAGTGTTTTCGTCCTATTCCATGGATGTTGCCTAAGGCCTGGGGAAGAAGGGACCTAGGGTCACCTCCCTCCTGTGGGGTGCATGGGTGTGGGGGGCAGGATGGAGAGGGGAGAGCCCTTGTTTGCCGTGGGCTCTCTTGATCCTTGGAAAGAGCTGAAGCAGCTTTTCTCAGCTTCTGAAAAGTAAGAGTCAAGAGGAATCTCCTGAGGGTGAGAGCCATGTGGAGTGTCCCCCGAGGCCGGCCAGACGCTGAGCCTCTGCACATGCAGCCTGGCACCCAGGGGACCTGCACTGGGAGAGATGGGCTGGCCCCATGGAGGGTGCTTGAATATCCTTGTGAATCGGAAGTTGGGGTGGGGTGTCTGCAGGGCGAGTGATCCAGGCCTTAATGAATCTTATCTGAGAGCCCTGAGTGGGTTGTAGGTGGCCATCTCTGGGAGATTCTTGACAATGGAGAAATGCCAGGAGAAATGAGTTCTAGAAAGCCTTGACTTTCAAAGAAGAGAGCCAACTCCAGGCATTGTCTTCCAAAGAGGATTCGTAGAGTGGTGAGGGGGTGGGGAATTCCAGTTTGTGCAACAGCTAGGGTGACTTAGTCCTGAAAAGGAAACTACTGGGGGGCGTGGTGCAGAATGGGAGTGAGAAAGTGTTGAAGGGCAAATCGGCTTCTTTTCTGTGTTCTCCAAAGTAGAGCCTAGTAGGTGGAGGTTCTTACAGAAAGGAGGAGACTTGGGTTAAAGAAAAAGCAAAGCTCTCTAACACCTAAAGTGGCACAACAGGGCAATCTGTGGGAGTTGCTGTCGGTCACTGGAACACCCACTCACTGACACCTGTTAGGGGTGAAACAGGTGTTGATGGGAGGTTCCCTTCCTGGGGGGTCCCTGGGTGGAAATCCTCCCAGCTCATGTAGGTCTTGCCCCCAGGTTGGGCTATGAAGGGACATGGTCCCTTGAGGTTAGGGCATCCATGAATGTGCTGACCACCTGGCCTATGACCCCCACTGGGAGAGGCCCCAGTCCAATGAAGGGCCCTGCCCTCGGGGGACCATGCTAAGGGGAAAGAGAGAGAGAACTATATTGTGGAAACAAGTAGTGCTCGATGGGGGGAGGTGTTCTTAGTAGAGGTAGCTTTGGGGTCCAGGGAAGGAAGGGATCACCGTGTGCTGTGGTGGCTGAGGAAGTCTGCCTCCTGCTCTGAGTCCAGTTTAGGATTTGAGCAAATGGGAGAGAGGAGAGAAGGAGAGAGGACCTTTCAGAAGGTGGCAAGGCTGAAACAGAGGAGGGGCAGGGCCTTGGTACAGGCT